CTGAGCAAATTTGTATGTTTTGTGGTTTGAGGATGCTTTACATCTTAGAGCACATTTGATGCAAAATACTATCTTTAGTGTCCAAATAATCTGTGTGAAAAGATTTGCTCTTTCATAAACTGTGGTTTTTAATAATTTTGAATATGAGACTGAATACCGTATTTTATTTCATTATTTAATTCATAAAGGTGCATTTTTTAATTAATGGATTATATGTAACAAAAGTGAACATGAGTTGGAAAATACTGAGAACTGAAAACATGTATTATTATTTACGAGTAAGTTTCAGGGTAGAAAATCTTGGAATCCTTAAATACCTTAAGCAGTTTTTATAGAATTTTCTCTGTCTGCCTTCTCCATATATACATACTTATTTCATTAGTAGAATTTGCTAGTAATGTGTTTTAGTTCTCTAGTAGAAGAGTTTAAACTTAAATATACATTTTTAGGTTTTAAAAATCGAAAATAAGGCAGCTTAATATATGTGTGCATTATAGTATTATGCTTTTTGTTATCTTTCAATGTTTTTATACTGTATGCTTTATATTCTTTTAAAATGCGTGATGTGCAATGCAGTAAATTAATAGAACTTGTTTGAAAGGGATAAGGTATTTGAAATTAATGCTAGTAATAGAATGAAATAAATTTATTTATTGTTTGGTATTATGGTAAAATCACAGGTAGCAATGTGAAAAACCCTAGTACAAATATTTTGAAATGACTTTAAAAATGGTATCTTATCAGTGATGAATGGGGCTGATTGTACCATTTCTTTGTTATGGTGATGCACTCAACAGTATCCACCAAGGGGAGGCATGTCTTCATGGACTAAGAGAAACTGGCTTACATCCATGCTACACGTGTGGGAAATCAAGACAATACCTAAGCAGCCAGCCTGTGTGCTGGGATTTGAAACTACAGCAAACTAATAGCATTCAGCAGTGTTATCACTTGGCCATTAGTGTGCCTTTTCAGTCCACTGTTGATAATGAATTTGATCGTTCTGTTCCTTTTCCTGATATTTTATGGGCAATCAGTAAATTTAATTTTAATGCTACAGTTTATCAGAAATATAAATCTTGTTACTCCATTAACATTTATACTTCTCTTTTTGTCGTAACTTAGGGTAGTGTTGACGACTGCTGTAGCAAAGGACCTGGCTTTGAATCTTGGGAAAGGCATAAATGTTTGTAGGCATGTAATTCTCTGTAGGTGTGTGGTATCTGTTGTGGTAGGGGAAGAGGGATGGGAGACCCCTAGTCTGCCACTCTGGATGTTCTCTCAGAATTCCATTCAGGGTGGAAGCTTAACAAGGCCTGGTGATATCTGATATGCCTAGATAGATGCACAAGTGCCAGTCTTGCTTCACCGGCTACTTGTAACTTAGAACTTGGATAATATATGAGTTGTTTATAATGAAAGAAGTTAATCTCCTTTTCTTGAAAAGTAATGAGCAGCATTTGTCCTCTAAAACAAATGCAATAATCTTCTTGCCATTATTTTTTTCCCTGTAGATGGTTACAATATTCCTGAAAAGTTATTGGTATTTTATCTTTTATAAACGAAATTCAATTTTGAGTTCATAAAATCATGTGTAATACATTTTTTAGCAAATGTATATAATTTTTCTAGTATGTTTAGATCTGGAGCAGTTCAGATTTGCAGCTTGAAGTGAATTAAAACATTTTTTTTTAAAAATTCAGCACAAAATATTTAAAAAAGATTTTATTTTATGGAGTTTGCATGTAGAAAATTGTTTAGTATTTAAACTAATTAACCATTGACAAACATTTAATAAATTGTTTTAAAGATGATAATCTTTCCTAACAATAAAACTTCTCTTCAGCACTAAAGTTAGTTAATAAGTGTATTAAATTTTACCTGATAGAGGCCTGTTGTCATGCTGCAAAATCAAGCACATTTCAATAGACATATGATTTCAGAGGCATCTAAAGGTATTTACATACTAAGTTGCACTTATAGATGATTTTCTGGGACAAATTTATGGTACGCAGTTTCATGAATGTATATGTGTTTATATACATACAAAAATTTATGATCTTTTATATGTATATGTATAAAAGATTACAATTTTGATTTTGAATATGTGATTTAAAATTTTTTTCATTTGCAGTTCTTTCATATTGGGTTTGCTCACTAACTTCAGTGTCTAATTGTGTTTGCAAACTCATGACTCAACACCTCAATCACCGTATCTAGAAAATTGGGATTTGATATGTCAACACAGTACTTTTTCGTTTCTGTTCAATAGTGAGACATTTTGAAACAGTGTATGCACACAATTTTCCTATTCCCCATTTTTGGACTAAAATCTTGTAAATTGTTATTTTTACTAAATTTAAAAGGTATTTCACTCACTTTCTTTTCGTGGTGTAGTGGTTCTGCACGCTGGGCCGATATTCCAGAAGTCCGTGGTTTGATTCCCAGCAAAGGCGTTTGCTAATTTTTCATTTCTCCAACTTAAAAAAAAGTCCTAATGTCTCTACAGTGGCGCCCGAACTAAAAGGGTGTTGGATGAAAATTCTCCACACCCAGGATTTGGTGATTGGGCCCCCTAAAACCCCAGTCGCCCTTTAAAAAGGGGAGTATAAGGTATTTCTTTTGCTTTCCTAGCATGCCTTCGTGCTGCACGTTGTGCCAGTATTCCAGAGGTCCGTGCCTTGATTCCGGACGAAGGCATTTGCTAATTTTTCATTTCTCCGACTTAAAAAAGAATCCTATAGTCTCTACAAATTCATTTTTCATAAATCATCCGAACAGTTAGTTGTCAGTCTATCACTAGAAAACAGTTTTGAGTGATGGTTTAATCAATGAGTACAGTTGAAAGCCCCTTACTTTCACATCGTCAATCATGTCTACTGTACTGGCTTGGAAGTATTTAATTCATTTGAATGATACTAATCATTGCATCATATATTTTTTATACACCTGCATCAGCATTTGATGGATTTTGATCTCATACTTCCAAAATTTATTCATAAATTTAATTGTTAACTCATTATTGCATTAACACATTGCTCTGCATCTTGCCATGCATGAAAAGTAATTTTATATAAATTAAATACTTTTTTAATAAAATGTTGTAACGTGCCTTATCTACATCTTGTAAAAACAAAATTTTTACTGAAGATTAAAAAAAAAAAAAATATTAACTATTTCTTGCACTATTTTACATCACATTAGTATAATGTTACTGCCAGGTGGATATGCAAGTCCGCAGATTTTGTGGTCTAACTGCATGCATATTTGCAGATTTCACCTTCATCAGTTATTGTTTTGATTTCTGTTTTGTTTTTATCTGTGATTTATGTTTTGTTTTAGTATCTTGTTAAGATTCACATAGCAGGGCCATGTATATAGGTATTTTAAAAGATTAGAAACTGTTAGATGTGCCACAAATATTAAAATTTGGGAACATTAATAATTCTTTCTTCTTATCATGATCTGTGTGTTATGCAGAAGTGAAACAAGCTTAAATTAAAGGACTGTAAACCAAGCCTTTGCACATTTTTCAAACTAGGAAAATTTGAAAGTTTACATTAAAGAACATTTTTCTCTTTACATGTATATTGACTTGCTATTAAACACCCATAAATATTCATGTTCATACATTTTTTTAAGAGCAGTGCTGAATTTTTAGTCCAAAGGGGCAATTTGCCCAGAAGGACTATTAATTGCCATTTTGCATTGATTCACTACAAGCGTTGTTTCACTTTTCAAATTGTCGCCACCAAATATTATCCCCCTTTATTATATTTAAAGAAATTAAATAATGAAGAATCTGCATAAATGTATGTATGTTTTTAACATTGTGGTAAAGCAACAGTACTTAGACCCATAAAATTTTGAATAACTTAATCTTCCTACCGAATATGGGCAGCTGGAAGTCCAAATTTGAAATTTGTTTTATTATCGATTATCATAATTTGTAAAACTTTAACAAATTTTTTATTCACATGAACTCAAGGATTTCAAAGCGAGCAATGGCAACACTGTACAGAAAATAATAATAATAAAGAAAATTTATCTCAGCTGCACGAGACTGTGTATCAAAAATTCTAAAGATAATGCTCATTTTAAAATTATTTTGTGATATTGCTGTTGAACTGAATTTTATGGTTTAAGTGTGAAGAACATGGCATTTAATAAATATAGGAAAACCATAAAATATTAAAAAAACGCCCCTGTGGACGTAATTTAAAATCTGAAAGCTTTCAGATTTTGTATTAGCTTTTAATAACTCTGTATTCAATGCTAAAATACAGTTGTTACTGAAATAAGTGTATTTATTCATTTTCTTAAATTCATCTTTTGTGTAACCCTTTCATGATAGCTGCCTCAGTCACCAAACTGCTCTCTTGGGATGGCGCGTTAACAGGATACACTGTCTAGTTGGGATACTGAGTTTGCTCTGCTAAGCTTAAAAAAATTCACTTTAATAAAATTTGTGGACCAGTTGTTCCAGTTTTTGGCAGTTATGAGAGGAACACTCAGGTAGTTATCAGAATTTGAAAACTTTACATTTTCTATGCCATTTGAAGTTAAAATATGTTTTGCTAAATGATATAAAGTATTTAAATGCATCGAGAATATCCCCCTTGTGTTTATATCAGCTGATACAGTTCCTAGTCAGCTGTTTATTTACATTACTCAACCCATGATTTCAGGATTCCAAAACAAAATACCAAGAAATAAAAAATACTCTAAGGGAATGGAGTTAAACATTCTCTAGTCTCAATAAGTTCCATCATAACAGGTATAAGGCTATATCTAGTGGCCAAAAAAAGATACTAATTAAGCACTCTATCTAAAAATTCATATGTGTTACACCTGTTTAAAAAGTAATTTAAATGATGATTCATATTTGACATAACCTAGCTCTGAGATACAGTTGGCGGCTGATGCATGTGACGTGCCTGTCCTGAAGGGGTTAAGTGTCAATGTATCAGTAAATTCATGAGTCTTTATTTCATCATCAGGAGAGATGTACTGAGCCATCTTATCGAATTGCACAACTTTTCAAACCAGTTTCTACCTCAAGCATTGAGAAATTTTTTCCAAACTCTTCAAGCTCCAAATCAGCTTGATGGTTACTTGCATTTTCTGTTGGAAAAATTTTCTGCAAGGTTTTGCCAATGCAATCCAAAATTACAATTAAATACAGGTGAGTACTGATAAAAAAATATTATAAGTTCTACTTTTCCCCCCCTTTTTCTAAATATTTGAACTTTTCTAAAAGGCTTCATACATTAACCTTTTAAAAAGGATGCAATAACCGGTGCTGTCTACATTGAAATACTATATATACTCCCTGTATCCATAGGTAATACATTTGCAGCATTATTGTTATGTGTTTCTGCTGCTGGTTGTTCGACCTAGCCAATCTCATGGTGCCGTCCATGATTGGTATAATGAACTGCTTTCTTCCTGCATTTTAGTTATTTTAATGGTGATGGTTTCCAGTAGAGGGTGTCTGTGAAACGCAAGTTCATCTGGACTTCTGCTGCCAGTGAAGCCAGAACCTGCAATCCTGTGCCTTTTGGTTTGCTGGTCTTAGTGATAACTCTAAAATTAACAGTCCCTGAAGCAAGTTGTAAATACCATGTCTTTTGCAGCATGTAATTGAAGTATCCCCACATAAGGCCTGTCATAGCACTGTGAGCAGAATTGAAAGATCCTAATCTGTTGGCATGCGTTTGTTAGGTTGTGGCTGGGGCATGAGCTACCATTCCACCGTTTTTGGTTAGACATGGTTGTGTTTCTACTGTGATGCAGTTTTATCTGTGTGTGAGGTACAGCAGCAGAGCATGTGATCACCTCCTAGTGTCGCAATTGTGGCTGTATTGTTAAATGTTTTTCTTGCTGGTTGTCATTAGACCAAGCTGGTCATGTGATAACCCTTTATGATTGATATAGTGAATCAGTTGCTTCCTGCTTTTTAGTTAGGTATTTAATGGTAAAGTTTGCCAATGGAGGGTGCCTGTGAAGCACATATTCGTCTGGACTTCTGCAGCCGATGAAGATAGAACTAGCAGTCCTCTGTTGTATAGGTTGACAGCGTTACTGATCACTCCAAAAACAGCTGTCTTGGGAGTGAGCTTTAAATGCCATCCCTTTTATGGGCTTCACTAGCAGTGCCCCTGCACATTCAGACTTACTGCAGCTAATAACAAACATTATATAATGCAAGGTGTTTATGTAACATACATAATCATTGTTAAGTGTAAATGACAGAGTGTACAGGAATGTAAGATGTGTGTCTGACATCCGCTTGCTCACTGCATTAGCTCCTGCCAGCTGTGATAATTTGTAATTATTTATCTTGGTATTATCACTGCTGACATTTGAATTTGTTATGACGATAGAGCTACTGAGCCAGCTTAAAGTCTTTGACATCTAGTCCACATTTTTAGTTTGCGTTTGACTCTTCTTGTTTAACTAAATCACCACGAGCTGTAATTGATTTTCTTAGCACAAGAACATGCCTTTATGTTCTAAGTTCTTTTTAAATAAGAGGCTTATTTAAACTTTTGTCTGATAAGAAGAGACATACTTTTTCAAAAAAGTGAGTTTTGAAAGAATACCATGCACCTTGCAAATCCTTTTTTAAAGGGGAGAAATAAAATCACTGATTATTTCTTTACTTCCATTAGACTTGCTGTTTCTTTGTCTAAAGTTTAAATTTAAGGGTCAGTTGGAATACCAGATTATTCTTTTGAAATGAGCAAATACTACATTCAATGAAATATTTCTGAGCTGCTCTTGATAAAATGAGTGACAAAACACACCAGACACACCCTATTTGGTGCAAGTGAAGAAAAACTGCTTGTTGTATGAAAAATGGGAATGCAGCATTAACCAAATTTTGTGAAAAAATAAACAAATGCTCAAAATATGTAAATTTTTACCAGTGTATATTCAAACATCAACAGCATATTTCATCAGAATAAAGTCTATTCAATGTAGCACTGTAAAATGTTTCTCATTTTCAGATTACGAATGCGATTACGCGCATGCGTCGAGCGACGCATGTGAATACGCATGTGCCTTTACAGCTGCGAATACCTTTACGGCTGCGAATACGCATGTGCGCGTGCGCAAAATACATTTACGAATGTGCGTTTAATGTATAACGGATTGTATAAGCTAAGCTAAAATTATCTAATTCAGTGAATGTTGCAGATTGCGTTGTTCCTTAATCTTCGAATTGGATTCGGCTTATTATTTTTTGCAGACTGTTAGAGCAATTTTATAAAAGTAAGCTTGAACTTTCGATTATGTCAAATAGAATTTCTGATATATATTTACTAATATGTAAAGGATCCACAAAGCGAAAGTATGTTTCGAAGTCCATTAAACAAGAAGTGGAATTGCTGCAAAAAATGGATAAAGGCATATCCTTTGTTTATCTAAATTTTAACATTTGTTTATCTAAACTTTGTTTATCTTTAATGCCGTGGCACGCATTGAATTGGAAGTTGATCTGTCAGCACTATCCTTATCTTCAGGGCAGATGTTTTTATTTTATTTGGCTTATAATTCCTCACTAAATGTAGTATTTCATCTCGATGTACTCCTTTGATATGATTTAAATCAAATTCCTCGTCATTATAATTCGCTTTCGATAGCGAAGAAAGTGCCAGAGGTTATTGAAAACGAAAAAATTTTGATTGACAAATTAGTCGGTATTCTCGACACAGCAATTATAGGACTTGAACAGCGGAAACTTTGTAACTAAACAAGAAATTATGTCTGTTTATAGAATTAAAGATAAAGTATTATCACATAAAGAACGAAGCAACTTAAACAACGTACATTGAAAGAAATGTTTAATAAAGTAAACAAATAAATATTAAGCATTTTTTTTTTGGTAAATTTTGATACCCTTTAGATCATAATTGTTCTTTATTTTATAAATTACGGCTTCATATTTTTAATTTTATAATTTCTGCATGCCATCTTACTAGATTTAAACTGATGATCTATAATCCGGAAAAATCGATAATCCAGAATCGCCGAAGTCCCGACGACTCCGGATTAACGACTTTTGACTGTAGTACATTCACTTACAAACGGACCTTACCTCAGTTTAAATGCAATATTGTCACTAAATAGAGTAAATTTGAAGTTATAACCCTCTCACTGCACACTTTTTTTTTATCAAAATAGGTTAAAAAATTGCATATTTTTTTATTACATATTTCAAATCTACATATATTTTAGAGTTAAAATATACAAAATACAAAAATTTGTTGTAAAAGTTTTTTTTCAATATAGAATTAGATCATTGAAAAAGGTTGTCAGAATACTGAAATTGAAGAATAATGATATAAAAAGAAAATTTTGGAAATTAATATTGGTTAAATTATGATTTATTTTGTAAAATACAAAGGTAAAACATGTTTACTAATGAAAATATTTGGCATAATGTAATATTTTGCTTATCAATTTTGCATCACTGTCGAACATTTTCAATAGAAACTGAATTTTCTGATTCATCACTATCTGCAGAGGAATCCCAGAAATTCTCATCAGTTTCGCTATAGCTATATTCAATATACTTGAAATCAGAGTCAGAACTACTATCAGTGTCGGAAATATCATCAAGAATATAGGTTATATCACTCGTGAAACGCTTCCTGCCAGACATATTTGAGCTCTGAAAAGCACATGCAAAATGCTACATTATGTATTTTTGTATATTAGACATAAATGTGGATAACTAACACTATCTGTTAGCCCACATCTAAATACACAATTAAACATCACAGAAAAGCAAAAAGAAACCTTGAATGGTTAAAGAGTGGTTTGCACAGTTAAATAGACGGCAAAAATTCATCCCCGCGGAAATCGCGGGTTGCGCAAATTTTGCTACTTTTACGTTGCCCGTGGAAATAGCGGGATTCGGAGCGAGAGGGTTAACAATGTTGTTTAGTAAACGAAGGGAAACTTCGTTTTCAGACTACTTTTAAACTTTTGTTTTTAATACTTTTAAAACTTTAATTTCTAAGGTTTCAGACCTGCAGTTTTTTGTCATTTATGAAAACAATATTTATAAAAGTATATTTTAGTGAGTGTTTGGTAAAAGTTATATTCATTAGAAAGATTATGTTAAATGTTCAAATTTGGAAAACTTTTGTTTGTCAAATGCAAGTTTTTAGAGTCAACTTGCATTATAAGATACACAAAAAAGTGTATAAATTTTGCAGTATATATGATATTTATGCTTTCAGGTATGTGCTCACTTTATTTCTTCTAAGTTCACGGCAGCATTTAAAATCACTTAAAGCAGCTTGTAATTTTATGAATAAATTGTACATTTGCATTTTATTGCTTATTGATAACTTTTTTTTTTAATTTTTTAGATATGGTATATATTTTATGCTTTTCCTTGATAATGCTGTCTGTTGATTTGACAAGTCCTCATATCAAGAATAAAATGTCAAAGCGTGAATTTATAAGAAATGTACGGTATGCAATACGCAAGGCAGATGATGAGTATTTTGGACATATGTATGATGATGTATATTTACGCGGACATATTGCACCAAACTCAGGGGATTAAGCAATATTGTAATGAACTGCTTTGTAAATGTAAGCTACTTCCAGCGTACGCTTTTTTAAAACTAGTCTTATATTTAAATAACTGATTCTTCTGCTTTTGTTAATGTGCAATGATTTATGTGTGCTGTGCACACCGCTTTGTGTAAACATTATTTGAATTAATATTTTTTGCATGCATCAGAACCTGTCATGCTTTATACTGCAGTTTATTCATTTACGTTCTTTGTTGTATTTTTTGTAAAATGCTTGATTAAAGCATTGCTAAACAGCTGGTTTCTTGAAAATTGATCTGCACTACATTATGTAACAAATGTAATAATGCAAAGAAATCAGAACTCAATTAATACAAGACCAGGTTTTATTGCTTTGTTCTTAAATTATTAAATATTAATAATTAAATGAATTAACACATTTTGACTCCCAAATTATGCAAGAACCTTTAGAAATCTTTTTAATTAGGCTACATTTCCTTGTTTGGACATTATTTTCTATCTTTATGGCTCTTGACAAATGTGAAGTATTTGCATAGTTTCAAATCTACATTATTTTTTAACTTCATGGATACTTTAAAGGCCATTCTGTGTATTTTTTACTAACACCTGAGCGGGCAGTCATAAGTTTTTTTTTGGTCTCTTGTTATACATTACTTTAAAATATTTGCTTTATTTTCTTTAATGATGTAAATATCAGCTTAATAAATAGAAGTTTATGAAAACAGAAACTAAAATAATTAATTATACAAATTTAGCATTCATGAGCAGATCTAAGAACCCATGCCGCTCTGACAGTTAATGACCTTTTCTTTTACATTGTTGGCATTATAAATCTGTGGTTTTTGTACTTCATGTTAATTGTTCGTTGTTTTTTTTAGCTATGCTAAAAAAGGAATTGCATACTCTGTGTAATAAAATATATGAAAGTTTTTGTGACATTAATTTTCTTAAATCCAAATCTTTAAATGCTTTTTTTAAAAACATTTCATGTTATGTTAATAAGAAACCTTTAAAAACACCAGAAATCTGCAAAAATCTTTAAAAACATTTTTGCAGATTTCTGGTTTTGCAAAATTGTTGTTTCAAAAAAAAAAAACACATTTTGCGTTTTGGCATTGTGCCAAAGATATAGTGACAAACAGCATTCTTATTTGTGTCACCATTTATTGTACCATCCAGCTCACATATTGGGGTATAATGACCATGTTTATAATAATCACATAAGATTTTTATTCTTTTCATTTTTTAATATTAATCGTTTCATGTTTTATTGAAAGGACAATTGCTGTTTCTTTTTTCTAATTTTCTTTTGATCAGCTTTTGTGTTCTAGTATGCTTTAAATTGTTTCCTTAATTGTAGACTTAACATGTCTCACAAATACTACCACTTGTTTTTGAAATATTTTTATGAGCATGAATTGCATACTGCTTGCTATATAGTTGTCATTGGACCAGTAGTTCAGGTTGCATGGGACCTGTTTCGTATTGCTATAAATTCAGTCAGTTTTCTGAATTAGCACATTAAACTTGTATTAAATGTGATTGTGCATGCAAATAAAATTTGTTTAGTCTTGTGTTTAGTTGTGTAAAGCTTAGCTGTCTTATCAGTTAATTGCTTTATCTACAAACATTGATAATATCTCTTCTTGTTCAAATATTTTTCTTTTTCTTTTAATTGCCAAATCTTAAGGCCTTTTAAAACAAATAGAAGTATGCTGTTTTAAAAATCAGTAGTGGTTCTGAATATTTTCATTATGTTACCCTGGAAAAAAAATGTGAAACTGTGCTGTTTGGGTATTTTCTAATAAGTTGTTAAGATGTTTCACAGAAATTATGCTTTAAAATTATGTGCTGTATTTAAAGTGATGTTGGTTTTTGTATTTAGTGTATTAAAATATTAATTAATTATAAAATTTATCAAACTATGTTAGGTTGTTTAGCTTGTTCATAAAATCATAATTTTGTCATTGTGCAGAAATTCTGTGTTTCACATTTTATCATTATACATATTAAATTATACTCTTAGTATCATAAGTTTTTATTTCAACAGTTTAAAATATTAATGTTTTCCTACTATCTATTTAAAATGAATTAAACCTGCTCTTGAAAAAAAAATGTCTTTGAACATATTTGGTTATTACCACTCATGAAGTTTGATTCATGATTCATGAGTTTAACAGGGATTTTATTTCTTAAATTTAGGTAAATTTTAATATTTTCAGGTACTGTTATTAACCTTTACCAGGGTCAAACCTTTCTTTTAAATGTAGTGTTTTTGTCAAAAAAATCAAAAGTTCTGTGGTTAATTTATTAAGGCAAATCAATTTGAGATCTATCTGAGTAGAGCAGAGATGCCATGGCAGATTACTTGTATCCACGTTACACATGGGAGAAAATTCCAATAAAGTCAGCTCATTTGCCAGGATTTCAACCTCGATCAAACTAGCAATGTGCAGCAGCTGTACTGCTCAGGCACTGTTGGCCTGCAAAGATTCTAAAGTAAATTATGAAATAAAATGAAATGCTTATATTTCATGTTATATTAATAAGAAATAAAAAATGAAAAAGGCCAAATAGTATATGTCAAAAAAAAAATTTTTTTTTTTTTTCTTAAAATTCGGAAATGTATTCTAAGTAAGTTATATCTCCCTGTCACCTTTCACTGACATTATTTAGTTACATACTGCTGAAGATAGTTCATAAATTTAGAAGCTGCTTTGGGATCTGGAGATCAAAAATAAATCTTAAATTATATATTTGTTATTAAGTTTTAAACCTTTGCACAAGTTTCTATTGTAGGTCAAAACTTTTGATTTTTAGATGCATTGTAGAGTTTAATAATGTGCCAAACATTTTGAGGCATTTTATATGCAAGCAATTAAATATATATAAATCATATGCATAAAATCTCTGTTATGTTTTTCATGATTGCAGCTACATAATGTAGTTTTTGTGTATTTGTTCTATAAATATTGTGATTGTACTATGTGTTTTGTAGTGAAATTTGTATTTGTGAAAAGTTGAATTTTTGTGTCAATAGTGAAAGTGTGATTGGGAAGTAACTTTTAATGTTCTGTGTGGTCATAAACTGTATAAGTATAATGCAAAAATATATTTAAGTCAAAATTTTTAATTTGTTGAAACCTTTATTGACTTTATGTTTTAGTGCAAGCTGTAATATTTAAAAAGATTACTCCTTCCCTGTAATGAGTAATATTTTGATAGTATTTAAATATGTGTGGAGATAAATCTCCTTTTCCAAAAATGATAATTTTTGTAAATGAAAGTGGAATAGCATTTTTTATGCATTTGAAATGAATTTTGAGTACTATACATATGAACAGCTTATATATTATGTGAAAATTGCCCTTATATACAGTTATGATGTATAATTATTTTATTCTAGAATTTTTTTATTGTATAATATATACTAAGGATAAAAATATAGAAGAGTTAAAACTGATGAAATATCAAGAGTAATACTTTTTTTGAAATTACATTTCTTTAATTTTTTAATGAAAAGTCAGTAACATAATTTCAATTTTGGTATCCTTGGATATGACATGATAGGTTAAAATATTTAAAATTGATTTCAAGATAAATGGAAAATATCTTAATATGCACTAAATTTGATGTTAATTAAGAATTATTTAAATTATACACAGCATAACTTTTGAATATATTTTATATGATTGTAATTAATTTATGTTAGCAAATATTCTTTAATTCTCATGATTTCAGTTATTAGTTAATCCAAGAAAATTTTTTTGTCTTGTAAGGGAATTTTTAAAAACTTTTAAATTATAACAATTTTTTGTTGTGCAGTTTACCATATGGTAGAAATATGAAATATTTTGATAATTAAGAATTTGGTAAAGGAGTCACAAGTTTGAAGTTTGACATATATACCTGTATAAGGTATTTCTTCTGCCTTTTTAGCATGCCTTCGTGGTGTAGTGGTCAGCACACTCGGCGCGTATCAAGAAGACCATGGCTTGAGTCCCGGCAAAGGCATGGCTCATTTTTCATCTCTCCTGCTTTCAAAAAATACCTAATGTCTCTACAGTGACGCCTTGGTGGATGATGATTGTTCGGATTTGATGATTGACTCCCATAATTCCCAGTCACCTTTTAAAAGGGGAAGTATATAAGGTGTTTCTCCTGCCTTCTTAGCATGCCTTTGTGATGTAATGGTCAGCACACTCTGCGCGTATTCGAGATGTCCAAGGCTCGAGTCCCGGCGAGGGCATTGCTCATTTTTCACGTCTCCTGCTTCGAAATAACCTAATGTCTCTACAGCTTTTTTTATATGCATAAAATTTCTTTCATTTATATTTTAGGGACTTCTTTTGAGTATTAAAAGACAAAGTTTGAACTAAGAAACTTATTATTATCTTTAGTTTAAATTTTTCTAATATTTAATAATTTTTTGTGTTAATAATAAATTATAAATATTTATTTTTTTCATTTTCCTTTTTAGTTTTAAGATATTGATTCAAGTTTATTTTTCTGAGCCCAGAAGATTTTTCATGCTCTTAAGCATTTCAGAAAACTTTCTGTTCTCTCAAAAAACATTGTAACATAGAAAAATGTGTAAAAACCATCCTTTATCATGTAAAATCCTCTCTGATGCATTAGACTAGTGGATAATGCATTTATTAATAATCTGTGATCATAAAGAGAAAAATATTGATTTTGTTCCTTTTTTTATCTTCTCAAAAAGGATTTTCTTGTTTTCAATGTGGCTTAGTGCTTCTTATTTTTATTACCCCTTGGACATACAATGATATCTGGAATGTGTCATTAATAATTAGAAATTAGTGTGAAAATAGATATTGAGTCCCGCCAGACGTTATGAAATTGCGGTCACTTCAAAACAAGTTTAGACTATAAAGTGCATATTGATATGCTTGTGTGTTTCTGTTTTTTGGAGTGCAGAGTTATTTTCTCTTTATAATTTTAAGCACATCAACTTGGAATTTTATTTGTATGCCAAGGAGTTAGTATGTATCTAGGCAATTAACTACGTTTGTGTTGGTTGAAAATGTCTTTTTTTTGCTCAAACTCAGTTTTTAGTGCAGTTGACCTGCTAAATTTATCTTTTTTTTATTTCTTAATTGCAGTGTATTTCATTTCTTATGATTAAATGCTACTTATCTCGAATACGAGGTATCAACAAAAATCTAAGCACATCAACTTGGAATTTTATTTGTATGCCAAGGAGTTAGTATGTATCTAGGCAATTAACTACGTTTGTGTTGGTTGAAAACGTTTTTTTTTTTTTTTTTTTTTTTTTTTTTTTTTGCTCAAACTCAGTTTTTAGTGCAGTTTACCTGCTAAATTTATCTTTTTTTTATTTCTTAATTGCAGTGTATTTCATTTCTTATGATTAAATGCTACTTATCTCGAATACGAGGTATCAACAAAAATCTATCTGAATGTCCTATCTTGCAGAAACTCATGATTGTAATAAGTTTGCTTGCATTTTGCTTACTAGGCACATTATTGAGGAATGAGGTGGAAATTCGGTATTTATTTGGAGGTGCAAATGGAGGGAAAATGTTCAACAAATTTATAGAGTGGAAACAAATTATTAACAATATTAATTATTGAAAATTTTGTTGTCATATTTAAATGTTTGAGGTTCAAAGTGTACTAAATTAAAATTGTTAAATTTATTTTTCATTCTTTATCTGAACAAGTTCTGAAATGAATTTTGACATATAAATTATTTTAAAATATTAAATAATAGTTTAATTGATGTACTACTGCATTCTAGTCAATGAAAATGCTAAATTGGGTAAAGAAATTATATTATCCTTTGTAAATATTTCTGTGAATAAACATTTTAATGTAATTTTATGTGTAATGAGTAAACAATAAATGTGACTGTAATTTCTTATGTGTATGTGAATTCTTGTTAGTGAACTAGCATTTTAAAACATAATTGAAACTAACCCTCTTGATGATCACTACTTCCCTTATCTAATCATGTATACTGCCACTCGGTATTCATATTCCTCCCTCCAAATCTTCCATAACCTCTCCTGCAAAATCTGTGTCTATATCTCCGAACCCAGTCACGACTTCTACCTTCACCTTAATTATCACCAATCTTAGCAGCACACCTATTTTTGCCCAACCTATGACTTTTAGTGTTAGCTGAAAAGAATTCCTCCAAAGTACTCGGATTATACAATTCCACAAAATCCTGTATTTTATGTAACAATATAGGGGCTATCAACTGTATTACCTAATTTTCCGGCCTTCATCCTAACAACTTTCTGTAAAACAAATGGTGTTAAATCTTTCCATACCAACTGATATTTCTAGTGTAATTCTGATCCTAAATGAACTCTGTTTATTGAGAAAAAAAGCTTTAGTCATTGTAGCTTTAAACACATTAAAACTACACTTCCGGGAAAAATTAAAGGAGCAACACAAATTCTTGTAACTTGAAGGATTTTGCAGCTATTATCATGGAACTGCAGAATATCTACGAGGGCTGTAAATTAAGTAATGGCAACATAGGTATAAATCAATTTTTAATGAACTTAAAAGTACAATTGCATTACATTCCTTCTATGTAATCACCAGCAAAGCTTATATAACCTTTTGCCAAATGTCGGGAAGCCATTGTAGACCAGTGGCAAGGTGTTGATTGTTGATGTGAGCGACCGAGTGCCCTATTGTGTGGAGAACAGATGAAACGTCACGAAATCGGTGACCTCGGAGGGGTTCCGTCAACTTCAGAACAGATCGAAGTCACAAGGACTCATGTCGGGTGAGTAGGGAGAGTGTTCCAGGATTTCCTACTGCCACCGTCGCAAAAGGAGAGTGACATTGTTTGCGACATGGCAACGAGCGTTGCCATACAATATGATAGGGAGATTGTTGTGCAATAAACGTGGACGTTTGCGCCGCATAGCCGGACGCAGATGGTGCTGCATCCGGCTATCTTCATTATGCCACACCGTTTGATGACTCAGACCAACCTCTAAGGATAATTCTCGAACTGTCCATCGGCGGTCTATGGTAAGGAGACCGCTCAGGATGTCAATCTGCTCTGAGCGCCGACCTGTGCGTTGCAAATCCGCAGTCTCATTCCTACCCGAACGAAATGCTTGAACCCATCGTGCTACTGTCCTATACGGTAAAGCATTTGTGCCACAGGTTTCTACTAATCCTCGATAGCAATCTGTTGCATTTTTGCCACGGGCAACCTCGATTTTAAGCCGCGACCGCTGATCACCTTTTGAAAACATGCTTTAGAGCGATGGAAATGAATGTCCTCAGTTTAATCCACACAACAACTACCCTTCTAAGCAGATCGACTGTTTTTTGCACTCTACACATCGACAACAGCGCCACCTCACCGCTTCCATATCCTATTCGCGCATGCCAGCCCTTCTGCGAGTTTCAAGTTTAAGTTGCCACTATTTAATTTGCAACCCCGTATTTTGTTATACCTGACGTATCTACAAATTGTAGAAAACTGCATGTTTTTGCAACGTGATAATGAGTTTAAATGAAACTGTGCGATATGTAGTGTAGGAAAAAGTTAATGTTACAACTTTTCAGAGGTACATAGAAAAAAATTAATCAGATGTGTGATCACCCCTGGCTGAAATGAAAGGTTTTAGCGATTTTCCATGATGCGTATGAAATTGTTCTTGAGTTCCTGCGGTGACAAAGTGTATTTATGATGACTAGTGCCCTGGAGCTCTAGTAGAGTGCTAGGTGGGGGCTGCAGCGATGCAAGTCGGCGTCCTCCTGATGTATCGGATTTAAATCAGAGGAATAAGCAGACTATTCCATCCGCTGGACTCACTTGCCGTCAAGGTAATCGATCACGAGTGCAGCTTAGTGGGGACAAACTTTATCCCGTATTAGTTATTACCGATTACCACCCTAAACAACTTGACGTAAGGATCACGAACCACATTTCTGAATATTTATGCATTGAAAGTAGCACTGGTAAAATTGTATAAGTCAGTGCAGCCAAATATAGAATGATGCCTTTCATGAAAGTTTTTAAGTTTATTGCGCGTGTTTTTTTTCTTCCCCTACTCTTTCTCCCCCCACTCGATCCTTATCAGAAGTCGAGTAAAAAGATATTTCTACATCTTGACACACTCGAGAATAAAATACGATCTCTCTGTGTGTGTGTATATAATCAGAACTCGGCTCCAGTCCGCGGTACTCCAATCACAATTATCTGTGCGTAACTGCAATCGGGCGCATTTCGCAATCCGATTTAGTGGAGCCGAAATTAGTTTCTAATTCGTGTAACAGATGGCAGTACTTGCCAAGCTTTTCTTCTAACTGAACTTCTTTGCCACTGAGCATGCATTGCTTGTTGTGAAACGAAAGTATGTTTTGAGTGGAAGCTAGGATTCATAAGTACTGTGCTGCACGCTAATTGTATCTATAAACAAAAATATATTTTTGCAGAAAATGGCGTTCTTTATTCTCTAACGCGACGCAAAGGATATGTGCGCGCTTCTCATCTGATTTTGAATACACTTTTAAAGTGGATCACTACGTTATATCTTGGCGTCCGTCAGATAAGACGCGTTAGTTAGGGTAAAGAACGTCTTACAGCTTTGTGAAAAAAAAAAAAAAAAAGCTTTGTCAAATGTAAGAAACTATAATTGCCTGTAAACGAAAGGTTTAAATGACAACTAGAAAAAAGTTAGGAATTTCACATCTTTTATTGTTTATTTTCTTAATTTATATATTTATTGTATATAAAAGGTCATACATACATTTTCAGAGCTTTCTTGACTTGCAGTTAATTAAAATAGAAACTAAAAACTTATAAACTAAATCTCTCATATTCGTTTTACAATAAATATTTCAGGTTACCCGTTAATTAAAATAGAAATTAAAAATTTATAAACTGAATCACTCACATTCGCTTTACAGTAAATATTTACCGGGTACAAATTCCAAATTATATTTTTGTTCCCCCTGGCCTTGCGATAAATTTGGATGGGGATAAAGTTATATTCATTATCCGTTAAAATACTCTTAAGTTATTGTAGTGTTGCTTCAGTTCCGTTAAGTTTCTAATGAAATTTAGTTAAAGCGGAATGGCAACACCTTCTAGTCTCCGCGAAGAACGAAGTAAACAACTTCGAGTTTTTGTCACGCGATGCTACGTGCATGTAAAATGTAAATAAATCTTATGAATAAGAATCTATAACATCGTAAGGAATAAAATATTGGTTCCATAGGAGTCAGAGAAGTGTTATTTTTCTATATTTGCACACCAGACACTTCAGTTATTTTTGCAATTTTTTTATTTCATTATAATTTCTGAATTTCTATGAAAACCCACCAGATTAATAGTTAATTCAGGCCGCGAATCTTAAAAAAAACAGCTTGTCAGGGTTAATACCGGCTTGAGGGCACTTTACTTTCTAATTATAAGGGAAAAAATTTACCGTTTACACTTAGTAGTCACATACCAGCCCAGCGGAACAATGAGGGAAACAAACGTGAAAAAATACCTGTCAGAGTCCCAACTTTCGAAGTACTCGCGAAGCGTAATGAGTTCTTAATTTTAAAATCGACGGTAACGAATGTTACAAAGATTTAAAGATAAATACTAATCAAAGCACTAGAATCGTTTAGGGTTGCTTTTATCAAACCTAACGAAGACAAAATCTACGCTAATGAATAGGTTGCTATATGTGGATATTTATCACATCTTTGGTGATTTTATAATGCAGTTTCATATTGCATATTCACTGTTATTTTAATCTACATGAAGCTTGTAATAAAAAAGAATATGTATATGAATGGCCTGAAGGTGAAAACTGTTAAAAAACTGTGATACATTATTTATTTTGAAATTAAAAATAATGGAATTATTTTCTTCAACAGAAATAAAGTTTACAGAATGCGTTGTATCATATATTAATCTTTGAGACATTATAAAGGCACTTACCTATAACGGCATTGGCCACTCTTAAGGCCAGAAGTGGTGTCCATTTTATTGTGGAGACACCTTATAAAATGGTGGCCACCGCTGCCTCCTGTGAAGAGACAGATAATTTTACATCCATGCCTTCTGCGGGATTCGAACTACTTCGGTATCGCAGTCAGGCTCCCCTAAACACAATACCGTCTGGGCGGCCAGATTCCTTTCTATTAGGGGTATTGATTCTAATCCAGGGGTTCTCAACCGGTGGAACGCTAGAGAAAAATAGGTGGTACGCAAAGAAGCAAAGTATTTTTAACTGTTAAATTCAAAAATTAACATTCCAACATCCTGATTGAGTTTTTTCTCTAACACTCGTAAATTTATGCGATATGAGCTTTGTTCAAGAGTGGTGGTGGTAGTAGTGCTTTGTAGCGGTGGTACTAAAGGTTTTCAATGTTTGCTTAGGTGGTACGCATTAGTCGAAAGGTTGAGAACCTCTGTTCTAATCCACAGGAGTTCTCTCACTGTTCTTTCCCTGCAGTCTGTCATAGGGGAATATCCTTAAAGTGCTCACTGTTTCAAACCGTGATTTAGTGATTCTGTGACAACATCGTTAAAAAAGGTAACTCAACTTGCAGGAGAACGGACGGCTTTAGTATTTCTGTGTTTCTCAAATTCAAAACTTTTATTTTAATATTCAGTGAACATATATAAATGAATTTATTATTTTTTTTTATGTTCAACCAGCATATGAGTCAGTTTTATTAGTACAACTGGAAAATCCTCCATGAAAGTTTTCTGCACATGGCAGAATTCCTTTATCTGAAACATGCTTAAATTAAACAGAAGAAAATGCATTTTTAATATTTCATGGGCTGTAAACATTTCTTAAAATTGCAATATGAAAACAACCGCAGTACTCAACAGTTATTTTCATATACGCATTTAGTTTTGTCTGATACAATGCCGTCGAAGTATTCTTGAATTGAAAGACTGGAAATAGCACTGAATATAATAATTGTAAATATTGAGTTGGTGAAGGATTATGTATGTTATGTTGTCGGATCCTTTAGCTGTTGAGAGGATAATAGTTCTGAATAATGACAGTTGATCATAAAAATGGTCTGGTTACATAACGCTTTCGTGGCTCTTCCCAGGTTTAACGTGAATATTAGCCATTTCTCTTAGCAAGGCCTTCATAAAGGTATTTCTTCTAAGAAGATAACCTTCGTATATTTTAACATAACCAATTAGCTACTCAACTAATCAGTTGGCGGTGATTATTCGAAAAGAGTACTTACATTTAGTGCTCTTCCTTACAGAAATATGAATCACATTTAATCGCTGATATATTTTTGCCAAGTCAAAATTCACTAGATTTGACTCAGAAAATTCCTTTATTTTCTGTGTTGATGATTTTAAGCATCATTGTTCTTATACTGTGCACAGTTGATTGAAGCTGTGAATATTTGCAAATAATGTAAATCGTTCTTTTTATGTTGTCACAAGTAACTTTAATTTTCTCCCCAGCACGCACAAACAGAATTATAAACCGTTTATAAGTTCAAGATTTTTCAGCATAATACGTTTTAGCACTACATAAATTTTAGCTCGCACTAATGCAATAGCAAGAAAATTGTGATTAATTCTCAGGCGTTTATATTTCGAAAGCATCTTATGTTTTGCTTCCACTAAACGTAAGAATTGAATTTTGTGTTCTCCATTTTCTTTAGAGGCTTCTGTATGAATTGATATTTATAAACTAGAAAAGAATATGCTTTTCGTTTTTATTACTGAATAGTATCTAAATATATAAAATTCTAGATGTCTTTATTACAGAATCAGCTAGAATAAATGATATTATTTTGCATAAGTAACATTTCATGCCTTATTCAGAAACTATGTTATTTAAATCAGCTTTAATACAAATGGGTTTGAAGCACAACTTCGCTTTCTTCACATAAACAAAAATTTACAGAATATAAGTCTTAACGTACAGAAAGAATATAAGTCTTAACGTTTTCCTTTTTTTCAAATAATAGTTATGCAGTGTGAAAAATATATCCGGGCTGCTAGTCAAAAGTAACTCATCTAATAATTTAGGTACTTCTTGAGATTTACATCCGACTTCATGCTTAAAAGAGCTAATTTAATTTTCCTTTTAACGGCAATCTAAGGTAAAGGCAATTAATGCTTTTATTTTTGAATTGTTTCACAGAAAAAGGAAAAGATTTTCATTTGCAAGTAAATAGAACTTTGTAACAAACTTGATATGCTTTAAGCCTCTTATCTTTAAGGAAAATAATTGCAATAAAATAATAAAATTTAATTTTC